TCTCTCAAGACCCCGAATGAATTATAGCAATTACGGCTAGACCCCACAATATATTCTTTTCTTTAAGCAGAAGAAAACCAAATTCTGTGTCTTTCTTCTTGCTGCTTCCAATCCATCACCGTTCTCTCTTCTTCTTCTTCTTCTTCTTTACTGCCTGCTAGCTCACACTCAATCAGCCATGGCCGCTCTGCAATACTTGGATTCGCTTCGCAATGCCCACCCCGAACTCTCCGATTGGTACAATACCCTTGCAGATCTGTACCAGCGCAAGCTCTGGCACCAGCTCACACTCAAGCTCGAGCAGTTCGTTGCTCTCGCCGTCTTTCAGGTCTATATACACTCGTCTAAATATTTACTTATGCAATTAGTTTTTTTGCGTTTGTGAGAATGTAATTGTTTGATTCCGCGAGTCTTTTTGGTTGTATATGAGATTTGTTAGGGTTTTTTTATGCTCTTATGGGTTTAGTTTGGCCATTGGGTATCAAGGGTTAGGTTTAGAGGGAAACTGGGGACTAGGGGTCAAGAAAAGTTGGAAATTCAAAAAAGTTGCGCCTTTTGAATGACGATTGAATTTGAATTTGGAAAATCTTCATAACCGAATTCATTTATAATACGTGACTAGAAATTTATTATGAATTGAACTTTGCTTTTCATGATTAAGAAGGAAAAGTGAGTAATGGACCTCTACTCTTAACTCTAGTGCCAATTGCTAAAGTTTAGACTTGATATGCACAAGTAATGAAGTGAATTTGACAAGTATAATGGTTTTACTCTTTAAATCACAGTGAATTGTAAATCTGCTGGTTAACTGAATGAAATCTTTTTGAAAAATTAATGAGGAACTTCCATATTTTAATGATAAAGAGAAAATTATGCAGTTAAACTTCCCTTTGTTATGTCAAATAGGAAACTCCTAACCTTTTGTTCATTCCATTAAGTTCCTAGAAGAAATCATATTACATGCCCCTTTAACTAGTTAAAACAACTCATTACTTATCAAGTAGTAGATGTTCTCCTTCCATGGAGTGACAAAATGGATTGAATGGTTAATATGAATTGTTGAATGATAAGGTCTGCTGCTCTTGATTAGAGTGCTACTACTCGAAGAACTTGCAGCACATAATTCTGGGAATGTGCCAAGTAGCCATTTCCCAACACAGTTTGCACTATTCTTAGGTATCTAACAATAATGTCTTATTATAGAAGTCATCATTTGAAGCAATAAATTCTTATCTGTTACTTCAAGTATCATTATATTTGTCCTCTTCAAGAATGCACTTACATGTATGTCTAATCCAATCTTTTTGTTATGCTATTTTTTCTTACAGGCTGGTGATGCACTTATACAGCTGTATCATAATTTCATCACTGACTTTGAGACAAAGATCAATCTCCTCAAGCTTGCTCATTTTGCTGTCATTGTTTCTCGGCAGTACTCAGGGAAAGAAGCAGCAATTTGTTACCTTGAAGGTGTGATTGAGAAACTTCGTAATACTAAAGAGATGCGCATAGAGGAACCAATCCTTTATATTAAGATGCAAATTGCTTTATTTAAGCTTGAGCAAGGGGATCAAAAAAACTGCAATAAACTTTTGGAAGAGGGGAAGAGCACACTTGATAGCATGACTGACATTGATCCATCAGTGTATGCAAGCTATTATTGGGTATCATCTCAGTATCATAAATCTCGTCAAGAATTTGCAGAGTTCTACAAAAGTGCTCTTCTCTATCTTGCTTACACTTCAGTAGAGTCTCTATCAGAATCATTCAAGCTGGTAAATTTTCTATTCTTCATGCAAATTACAATTGAATTGAGTTATGTAGCATCGACATTGTTATCTTTCCCGTCATCATATTGATTTTGGTTTAATAATTCTAAGAATCAGTTTACATGGGAAATTGTTGGTTGAAGACAAGTGATGAGAAAATTCTTTGGATATGAATTCTAGTTGGATATATGATGGGCTAGCTGACATAAAAAACTAAAATGTTCTATTAGTATTTGAACATTGGATACTGCCGAATCATACATGCCTTAGTTGTAGAAATGCTCTTCTTGTGACTTCTGACCATGATTAATTTTGAGGTCAGCAGAATTTGAATTAATCTGTTCCTTATGTTTCTTTATCTTGGGAGTTACCAGAATGTTTCTTTATTGTAGGAGTTCTTTAGTGCAATAAATGTTTGATAGTTTTATATTTCACTACATTCAATATTGCTGCTGTGTTTTTCTTTTTAAGAATTCTGTTAGGATGTTAAACTGAATCGTTTATATAGTTGTGCTCTTAATTTAGTGGAGACTACTAAAAGTCCATGGTTTTTGAACTGTCATCCATACTATATCAACAATTTATTGAACCTTCTGTACATTGCTCATGTTTTGTGCATCATTGCTTTGCAACATAAACTTGTTTGTTGGAGTAATGATTATTTAGAATGTCGTATAAATTACTCAAATGTGAAATAACTTAAAAACTTTATTGAGGTATCATTTTAATTTTGTTTTTGGCACTTATTCTTTAAACTTTTCTCCAAAAGTGGCTGCACGACTGTTTTCTAGTATCCTCTGCTCTAATTGCTTCTTTTCATAAGGTAGAATGATTGTTTATTGTTAATTGCCAGTTTCCTGATGGTTTCATTTCTTAATGAAAAGTTATATGAATTAGACAGCTGCTTCTATGCTTATGCTCTTTATTCAACTTAACAGTCTTAATTATTCAACTTAACAATGTCTTAATTATTCAAATTACTCAAATGTGAAATAACTTAAAAACTTTATTGAGGTATCATTTTAATTTTGTTTTTGGCACATATTGTTTAAACTTTTCTCCAAAAGTGGCTGCAAGACTGTTTTCTAGTATCCTCTGCTCTAATTGCTTCTTTTCATAAGGTGGAATGATTGTTTATTGTTAATTGCCAATTTCCTGTTGGTTTCATTTCTTAATGTAAAGTTATATCAACTAGACAGCTGCGTCTATGCTTATATCCTTTATTCAACTTAACAATGTCTTAATTATTTAGGATTTGGCGTTTGATTTGTCTCTATCAGCATTGCTTGGAGAAAATATATACAACTTTGGAGAGTTACTTGCACATCCAATTGTAAGTTCACTAACATGCCTCTTTTTTTTTGTTTTTGTTTTTGTTTTTGTTTTTTGTTTTAAATTTGTTCCACCTGTGCAAAACACAATTATCAGTGATATGGTAGTATTCCTCACAGTTTCCTGTGGAAGTGGATAAATGCCATGATATCTAGAATACCAGTATTGTGATTTAGCTATTCCCTTGTGAACTCCCAATCAACTAACCTAGTCATCCCACCTTGCTACTTCTTACATCCAGAAGATGTTTACACATTCAATGAATGTTTTTATTTTATATTACTATATAATATATTTTTTGGTATACTAGATTTTTAGGAGGGGAAGTTACCCCATTCCAGGGCCAGGGCCTACCACCTGCCTTAGAAGACTAATAGTGATACTTGGAGATTCACTATTTTGAGTATTTTCATTCTTTTAAAGTACAGAGTAATAAAGATACTAACTCTAATAACTATTATTTTATTACTCTCTTCCATATAATAGTAGTCATTTTTTTTCCATAAACTTCGTATCCACTCAAATTCTGTCAACATGTAATGGGAGAAGGGAACATTTCTTTTTGTAGAAGTTAATACAGAATCACTATGCGATTTCACTGCTCACACATGCATCTATGATTTAATTTGAGAGGCTTTTGACCCTTAAGCATTTTGCAATAAGAATGGTTTCATGGTGCCAATTATTCATGTCATCTTTTAGATGCTAATCTGATCTGACATGTGATAATTGAAATTTGTTACAGATAAAGAGCCTTATAGGGACAAAGGTTGAGTGGCTCTACTATATTCTTGAAGCATTCAACACTGGTGATTTGGCTCGCTATCAAGAACTGTGCCATGTCCATCAAGCTGATTTGAATGCCCAGCCTGCCCTGGTACAAAATGAGAAAAATCTTCTGGAAAAGATCAACATTCTCTGTTTGATGGAAATCATTTTCAGGTATGATAATAGAATTTCTTGATTTTATTGGAATTTGAAGGAAGCCCTTCTTTATTGCCACCATGCATGTTAACTGAATGCAGCAAAACTTACTTGCAGTCGCCCATCTGAGGACAGAACTATCCCATTGAGTATCATTGCAGAGCGCACAAAATTGACGGTAGAAGATGTGGAGCATCTCCTTATGAAGAGTCTTTCTGTAAGTACTCGGTTGCTATTGCATTAGCTTACAATATTTAGCTCTTAAGATGGTATTGCTTACTGCAACAATCATGAAGCAGTATTTGGTTAGATGAATTGCAGAATTGATGTGTATCTCTTTGACCCTTTGCAAATGCTCTACTCTATATTTGGTGGCCCCTGGACCACTCAAGGAGAAAGATTTTTAAGTGATGTGACTTTTGCTTGTAGACACTGATTTGTATGTGATGGGGAATTTAACAGATTTATAAGTTTCTTTCTCAAAAAAAAAAGGGAAGCTTCATATCCTCTTGTACAAAAAGAGGAAGAAGAAGAGAGAGAGGGAAAGGGGTGGAGGGCAATCATTATTGTGTGGACCATACTGTCAAATAATGTACATTCAGTACACAAATAATGTACTTTTAGTATATTAAATATGTACATTGTATTCAGAGAAAGTACATTATTTGAGTACTGAAAGTACATTATTTTGTATAATGTACATTCAGTACATGAATAATGTACTTTTAGTATATAAAAAATGTACTTTTTGTTATGGTCCACACAATAATTTGCGGGTGAGAGGGTGGTTGTATCTTTAAATTATTCCTCTTTTACAAATATATGCTTGTGGCCTTTAATTCATCCTTGGATTTGAATGTCTTGAAGCCATTTATCAACAATTCAATTCTATGGTGCAGGTCCATCTGATCGAGGGAATAATTGATCAAGTAGATGGGAGTGTTTATGTTTCCTGGGTACAACCGAGAGTTCTGGGCATTCCTCAAATAAAATCATTGCGAGATCGCCTAGACAATTGGGTTGAGAAAGTGCACACTGCTTTATTATCTGTGGAAGCTGAAACTCCTGACCTCGTTGCGGCATAAAAGATTTGCAATAGAATATCCTGGTCTCAAGTCTCTACTGTGTTCATTCCAAGATATGTGCCTGTGCTCCAGCAAAGAATCAGGACAGTGTTTACATTCTAGAGGGCTTCAGTGTATGTTTGTTCTGATTATAATGCACAATTCACAATTTGCAATTCTCAAGCCTCTCTCAATCACTTTTTTTTTTTTTTTTTTTTTTTTTTTTTTTTTTTTTTTTTTTTTGGGAAAATTAAGTGCTCTTTCCATGTGCCACAGGACGGAATATGTGATAATGGTTTATTAAATTGTTGGAGTTTGTGTTGTGGCCCCGGGGGGGGGGGGGGGGGGGGGGGGGGATTGTTTTGTTTGACCTAATTTGATGTATTCTCCAAGTATGAAAATACTCCTACAAAGAACTCGTAATAGTTGATGCTTACGAATTGATTTCACTTGTGATGGCTCCATTGTAGTATTTTTATTTTTAATTATCGATTATCCATTTGGTCTACTGATTATTGTTATTAATCAAGTCCCAAGGTTGAATTTTAAAATATTATAGGATTGATTAAATTAGGTCCAAAAAAATTATTTGCTCTCTCAAAAAGAAAGCAAACTAAAAGTTAGTGCAGGTCTAGGTTTTTCTCACCCTAAGAACTTTTGGGTATGTCTTTTTTACTCGTGTCTTTATATTTTTGTTTTGCGCTCGCTTTTTTCTTGTTGTCTCTACGCCCTAGGGGGAACCGAGTAAGGCAAAGAAATTTACGGTGGGCAATGATAAGTGAGTTCTTGATGCATAAGCAAATTAAATTTGACGTTATGTAGAGTGTCATAGTGATAGTATAGTGCGTAGTGAGGGGTTTGGGAGTGTTAGAAGTCCAAGCCAATCGCTTCTTGTTTCAATTCTTTCATGGAAAAGATGTGCAATGTATGATTGATTACGGGTCGTGGGCTTTTGAGAAACACACGTTGGTTTGGTAGACTAGTAGAGGGCGAGCAACCAACGTTGGAGGAGTTGAAATCAACCAACCTCTGGGTTCATGTCTTTGACCTCCTGAGTGGCTATATGTCAAAGCGAATTCTTGAGCAGATTGGAAATTTTTTAGGGAGGTTTCTATATGACCTGTTTAATTTTGGGGGCTCGTGGCGCATCTATCTCCGTATAAGAGTGGCACTAGAGGTTTCCAATCCCCTGAACTGGAAGATGAAATGAAGAGGAGGGATGACTCGTTTGTGTGGATCACTCTCAAGTATGAACGGCTACATATCTTCTATTTCTTTTGCGACTGTTTGGGGCACACCGATAAGTTCTGTGCAAGGGCGCCCGATTTTAATGTGAAATCGGAGGAGTATGATTTGGGGCGTGGTTGAGAGTTGTGCCTAGGCACTGGAATGAGGGCATTGGGGTAAGGTGGTTGGTGCAGGAACACAGTGGGCATGAATGGGAGCCAACAGTGTACGCCGATGTCCTAGTAGGGAGAGAAGGGGGGGGGGGGGGGGGGGATTAGCAGAGATTGAGTGGGTATGTGGGTATGCAACTGGAGATGATGGAGAACACGAATGAGTTTGTCTTTGCGAGTGCTTGCTTCCAGACAGCATATGAGTACCCTAAGCTAGAGCTACTATGGCCTAGGTTGCCCACAGACAGTTCACGAAATTGTAGACATGGTGTCCAAGAATCAACTTGAGTTGTGTTTCTCATGGAGACGAAAGTGAATAGAATGTATGCATAGGGGTTGAGACTAAAAATTGGTTTTGAGGGCTTGTTCTATATTGATAGTGTTGACCTTAGCAGGGGTTTGCCTTTGTTTTGGAGAACTAAATGTGTGGCTAGCTTGATCAGTTTCTCTATAAATCATGCTGATGTACATGTCAAAATTGGGGCAACTTGGATTGGAGGTTAACTTTTTTCTACGACTTCCCAAAGAGGACTAAGAGGTAGCACTCGTGGGACTTACTCTGGGACCTGAAGCACAAATCAATGCTACCATGGGTAATGGTGGGGGATTTCAATGACTTAACTAGCCAGGCTGAGAAAAGGGGCAGGTTATGACATCCTAACCGCCCCTTGGAAGGCTTTAGCAGGGCACTGGGTGATTGTGGTCTAGTGGACTTGGAAATGGTAGGCTACCCTTCTACGTGAGAACATGGAAGGGTACGGAGGACAGTGGAAGAGAGACTAGATAGAGGTATAACATTTTTGCCTTACTCCTCGATCACCTCTTCGTAGAGTTAGGCCCCACAAAAAATTCTGTTTTCAGAGTGCGTGGCTATACGAGCAGGAGTGTCAGGGGCTTGTAGTCAAGGCCTGGGAGGACTTCGTTACCAGGTCCTTTCAAGGGCGGATAACGCTTTGTGCTGATAGGCAGACATAATGGTGAAGGGTGTGGAACCCATTATCCCAACGAGAGGTTTACCGTTTATGGCAGGGGGGCGGATCTTCTATCCCCTTATCTTTTCATTTTTTGTACTGAGGAACTCATTGCCATGATCAAGAAGTTGGAGGTGAACAGAGAGATCCATGGATGCCGCGTAGTGAGAGGGGCGCCTTTCACTGACCCACTTCATTTTTTGCAAATGATAGCCTTCATTTCTTCATTGCAAACGATAGGGAGGCGGAGGCGCGGAGTGCGTTAAGCGTTGCTAGGAAAGATACAAAATTGCTTTTGGTCAGGCTATCAACTTGAACAAATCCACCTTGGTGTTCAGTCGCAACACAGGGTAGGCTGTGAGGAACAAGATAAGTGGGATGCTATGGGGTCAATTGTTCAGAAGATTGCGTCCGCTATCTAGGGCTCCTGTCATTCATGGGTAGTAATAAGAGGAGAGTATTCGATTTCGTGACAGCAGAATCAACATGAGAGTTTGGGGTGGGGGAGGGGAAGCAAAACCAAGTCTTGTCTAAAGCCGGGAGAGAGGCGTGGCTATGCCTACGTACGCAATGAGCATTTATTTCTCCCGGTGTCAAAGTGAGTCTCTATAAAGGGGTATGAACAATTTTTTGCAAGGAAATGGCAGAAGTACGGGCAGAGGAATACACTGGCTGGCTTGGAACAATGTGTGCTCCTAAAGCGCAGGGTGCCTAGGTTTCAAACGACTATGAGAATTCAACCTTGCTTTGTTTGTTTTTTTTTTTTTTTTTTTTTGGAAAAATGGGAGGGGGCACCCCAGCGGGAAGTTAATTTCTCCCACTGCGCGAACAGAAGACACGAATGTATTCTCTCTCAATTATCTCATCCATTCCGGCCGGGCAAACTGTGAAGTCCTTCCAGTTTCCATGCATGGCTATACTCCAAGAAGCAATGGCATCCGCACTTTCGTTTTGGCTAAGCAAGGGTGGCGGTTGCTCACTTAACTTGAGGTGCTGGTCTCTAAGAATTTGAAGTTCGATACTTTGTTGTTGGATCATTGTTGGAGGAGGGCATTGGAAGCAACCGAGCTTCACGAGAGGGTTGTTGCTGCGTTGTCTGGCTAAACGAATTGATAATGAAGAGGGAACAGATGTCTAGAAGGACCCATGGCTAAACGAATTGTGGCAGCACATTCCTCCTTTTTGAATTGTCCGTAGGAAGCACACATGGTCAAAGCTATGGCTTTGAAGGAAGCCTTTTCATGGCTCAAGGATCGGGGATAAATAGACATTATTGTAGAGACAGACTGTCTCAACGTTATCTAGAGCGTCAATTCAAGGTCTACTGATTTCTCCTACAAAGATAATATCGCTAGGGAAAGTATTTTATTAATTTCTTCCTTTAGGAGCTTGATCATTAGGCATTTTAGGTGTTCAACCAACTTATTAACTTATACATTAGTTAGGGCATCGAGCTCTCAGTCTAAACCGACGGAGTGGATAACCTCACCACCTCCCTGCATTGCTAATTTTTTACTTCATGATAAATAATTTAATAGGAATTGCTTTGACTTTCAAAAAAAAAAAAAAAACCAAAAAATTCCTTACATTTTACAAAATAGGCTTGTTTTGTGATTTTTTATTATTATTTTGTTTTTATGCCCACAAGTGTTTTGTTAGAAATACATAAAGAGATAATACAACTTTACTCGCATAGACTTAGCTTACTGGTTCACTAAATAATATTTGGAAGAAGATAATACAACTCACAAAACGTCAAGTACGCATATTATAAAATATGTCTTCTTTTTATTAATTTAAAGAGAAATAACAACATTAATTTGTTGTTAGAATCCCTACCAAGAACCATAGCTAAACAAACATTCCAAGAAGAAAGAGGGAGGGAGAGAAGCATCAAAACATCCTCATCTCTGCAAAATGGTATGGTTTTAAGTATCAAAATGGTTACATACACAAAGTATCCTGCATGGCTGCTGCATCTGCATATTTCACAAAAATACATATAAATCTGAACAACAAATCTTTCTGGTACTCTTACAAGTTACAACAACAAATGAAAAACGAAGGATAGGATCAAAAGCTCCGGGCGCCAATCTTCAACATCGCTCGCTACATTCTGTTGTGAAAAGAATTTTCAAAGGGGTGATTCTCGTTATCACCTCTTCCCCCTCTCTCCCTCCCTCCCTCCGCCCTATCTACAAAGTACACCCCCCGGGATTTCACTCTTGCCGGATAAATGGAGACGAGCTAACATCTGTCGTGCTGTAAAAGGAATCCTCGGCTCCAACATAATAGGTCTCCTCCTTCTCCTCGTCCCACTTCACTACCTCCCTTATATATTTGAACGCCTCGTCAATCGTCACTCTCTCTCTCGCTCGCGATTGCCAAACAAACAGCTTCCGATCCGTGAGGGAAGCGTACGCATCTTTGAACTTCATCGCAACATAGTAGTAGGCTTGCTGTGCTAGCGCTTGGTGGTTGTTGTGGGGCCGCACGGGACTGAAATCGCTAAACCACTCGCAAGTACCTAAAGGCACCCAGTTCATCTTCTCCTCGAACAGATCGTACTTGTTCAAGATCAAGACAAAAGGCGTGTCTTTGAAACAAGGGTTGCGTATCATCGCCTCGAATAGTTCCTTGCTTTGCATCATCTTGTTTTGGAGTAGCACCCCACTGCCACTGTTATCTGGGGCGACCGACATCTGATCGTAATCACTCAGAGCAACACAGAAGATAACGACTCGTACATCTTCAAACATCTCTACCCATTTGCACCCTTCATTCATCCCCTTCGCATTTACCCTTATAAGTTGGTACCTGATAG